TTTCTTATACCGGCTATAGAAACAATGCTTCGTAATTCACATCCAAACAATGACGGTAGGATGGTTTCGATTATGATCCTTTCTCCTACACGCGAATTGGCACAACAAATTGCCGCTGAAGCAGAAAGGCTCACTCGATTTTATGAGTACCGAGTTCATTGCTTGGTGGGTGGGGAAAAGAAAGATGTACAAATAAGAAAATTGATGAGGCACAGAGTTGATATAATTGTTGGTACACCGGGACGAGTTGAGGACCTATTAGAATCCATACCTCACTTTCGAAGGCAGTGTGGGGAGATCAAGACTGTAGGTATCTCTATGATGAGTATAAAAAAGTTTCCACTCATACTTATGCCAGACGTAATTCTCACTCGAAATACTTTTTTTATTGTTGTATCTGTAGTTGATCCTCGATGAAGCTGATCAACTATTGGATATGGGATTCCGCGAGGACATTGAGAGAATTATCAACTATTATCCAAAAGAACGTCAGACTTTCCTATTTTCCGCTACTGTTTCTTCCCAAATTCGCCAAATCGCAAAATTTGCACTCAAACCGGACTACACTTTTATTGATACTGTCGACCCAAATGATGTAAATACGAATCATCAGATAGAACAATTATATTCTATCACACCTTACGATAACCAACTCCCTGTCATGCGTAAAATTATTAACGATCACAGAAAACTTCATAGAAATGGTAAAATAATGATGTTTTTGCCAACAAGAATGGCAACAATGCTTTATGCTGATCTTATACGGAATCTCGACGAGATGGATATTTTTGAACTCCATTCTGGAAAGAATCAAGAAATGCGCACAAAAATATCAAATAGATTCCGGAATTCTAGACGTGAATCTATTCTTGTTACCTCGGATGTTTCTGCACGTGGTGTAGACTACCCAGGAGTTACTATGGTACTTCAAGTGGGTGCTCCCTCTTCACGCGAACAATATATTCACCGTATAGGGCGAACTGGCCGTGCTGGAAAAGAAGGAACAGGTGTATTGCTTTTGTCACCCTTTGAAAGAGGTTTCATGAGGCACATCGAGGATTTGCCTCTGAAACCGATTGAAGGAATTGATAATGATATGAGAGGAGATAACGATCCGAGAATTAGGCGCGCTATTGAAATGCTTGACGTTTCTGGAATCAAAAGTGCATGTATGGCTGCACTCGGCTACTGTAAGTATTACTTACACAAGTTTTCTTTAATGTAACCAATCCCTTTCTTAATTAAAATTCTAATTCCGCGTTAGACTCTGGGAAGCTCAGTACTCACTTCATCAGAAAAGATGATCTAGTAGACTCTATTCAAGACATGGCTCGATCTTTTGGTTCAGAGGTACGAATAAATCCATCGATGTTATCTAGGGCCGGCATAAAAGAACGAGGACCCCGAGGTGGAACGCGGGCTGGAGGATTTGGTGGACGTGGCCATTCTAGATATGATGATCGCGAACCTAGTCGTTTTGGTGATAGGAGATCATATGACCGATTCAACGACTATGATTCACGGACTCCTGGGAGATTTAATGATTTCGAACGTCCTGGTCGCTCTAGGAGTAATAATTCTGGTTTTCCGCATCATGAATCCCGTGATCGTTACAGATATTAAAGACATGCAATCAAAACTAAATGTAATAAGTATTATTTCTTAGATGTTTAGTACTAAAAAAAATTTTTTTTTTTTTTGTTTATATATTCAACAAATCTATGTATTTACACAAACATTGGTCTTATTTGGGTTTCCCCAAATTCTAGATCAAATTAAATTTACATTCTTTTGTACGAGGAATTTCTGTTTGAAAGGAAACGCGAAAAAAACAATCACAGTATTTTAAGAGATTAAGATAGAATTAATAAAATCATCATAAACACGTCGTTATACCTCGCCGACTAATTGCTTCATAATGTTGGTTTGTCATACATGCACACTCCGTCAAATCAACGACTTCTAAAGATGCACAACTGTTATCTAAAAAATATTGTAATGATTTCTCGGTGAAAGTCCAACCTCCATAATTCCCATCCTTTATCGTCAAAGATTTCAATGTAGCCGGAACAATCATGCTCATCTGAATTAATGTTTCGTTTGCGTCGAAATCATCTCCGCTAAATGAAAATATCTTGAGCTGGGTACAGTAATTAAAGAGTAAAAATACCTCATGCATCCATAAGACAGGCAAATGGAGAAAATGAATATGTGAACAATGTTTGGCAATTGATTCAATGATCTGGTATCCATCTTTAGGATCTGATCTTAACCACCAAAATGACATTTTTCGTAAACTATGCCTCGTATTCTGAAACAATGCTTCCCAAAATTCATTTTGTGGAAGCGGATAAAGTGGATTCCATTCGTTACGAAATTCAAATTCTTCCAGTCGTGAAAACGAGGCCAATGAGAATAGTTGATCACTTGGGGAGATGAAACAATTAAGGATTTTAATGGACTCCAAATTTTGGCACGCTGATAGTGCAGATAAACTACGATAATCCTCTTCATCTTGAAAGTCAGTATCAATTAACTCCAAGGATGTCAATGAATTGGATTGATGTTTCAGTGCGTCTATGATAATTGATACGAAACGTTTGTACCCATAAAGACAAAAACTTTGTAATCTATTCTGTTTCTCAATGAGTGTTGCCAAACTTCGAGCGTCTGTCTCATAATGAAATTTCCATTGAACATTAGGTGGGAATCCGATACAAATTCTACGTAGATCTTTGCAAATACGCGATATTGCAATAAGAAGCTCTGACTTTAAGTCTCCCAAGCAGATAAGTTGACGGAGATTAGTTAAATAGTTGCGGGAATTAGTACACGGAGGTAAGAATGGAAAATCACTTTGAATGGCTTTGGACTCCAACAGAAGGACATGAAAGGTCCTGCATCGCTTCATAAATAACTTGCACAACTCCCTGGCCACAAGACCCGTTTTTCTCTCGTTTTCCTCTTCGGATTCGTCACAAAATTCACCATTATCCTCGACATCTGAGGAGATCAAACCATACCTATCGGTTCTGTCTTCTGCATCAGATTTTATTTCTTCTCCATAATTCAGGACCCGGTAAAACCAGCAGGAATTTAACCATTGTGAAATCGACCAGCACATATAATCATAGTCAAGAGCACGTAAAAAAGATGCATAGTCAAAAGTATGAGGCGTCGATACTATTTGATAGTTTATACCATTTTTGAACAAAATGATCTTGGTCTCATCAGGAAGACAAGTAACATAGGTCTGAATCAGCTTGGTCGCCGAATTCTGGGAGATTGAATAACTCCAAGGACGACTCCACAGAATATTGACCGCATTATGGCACCAAAAACGGCTCACCAGAAGACAAGAGTGAAGTGTCTTACTGTCGCCTTCGAGGTGTGCAAGAATGTACTGCAAACATTCCGGCGAAAGCGAGAGTGCCATTTTTATTTCGTATGGCCTAAGAGGAAGGGTTTAGGTCAAAAATTCGTACGCGGTCTCTACTGATTTCGATTGGCTGATTATTTATATAAATCAATGAAGGTATTTCAAAGTCCGCATACGTGTCTCAAAGGTGGCTAATCCAAACCTTT